AGAGTATGGATTGATAGCTGCTGTTTGATTGATGCGTTTTCCGGCCCTCTCCTTGATTTCCGGTTCCTTCAGACTCTTGCCGTCATCACATGCCTCGCTGTAGGAGCCCAACATGAATCCTGGTATTCCTTTTCTCTCTGCGCTAAAATAAATTCGCGATCTTCTGCTTCCGTAATCATTTCCAAGGCATTCGAATGAGCCATATCGAAAAGGTTGTCCAATCCTTCGTTCTTTGCTGAACAAATTTATCGTCAATGCGAGAAATACTTTTTTTTAAGTTTGTCCACCCATCATGAAGTTTATCCAAAGCCTGGTTTTCCTCATTGGGATACGAGCCCTGACCCAAACTTGTTCTGCCAATTGAACCACCTTCCAGAAGCATTATCGTATCGTGGAGCGAGATTGTGCGCGATGAAAAAAGAAGAGCTGTAGTACTTCTCGGTTACTCGGAATTTTTCCACCGGTGAACCTGGTAGTGGGCTGACCGATCAACCACTTCTCCGTATCACTTCTCAACTCCATGGCACTTTTGTATCTAGAGATGACAGCACAATATATTTATAAACATTGGGGTAAAAAAAATCTGGCAAAGCATACTATGAAATATGCCCAATCAGCATACCTGCATTTCTGCTCAAATCAAGGTTTATCTGCAATCTGGGTTCCGAAAGCCAATTTCTGTTTTCTGAAGCATCCAATCGCCTTGAACAAAGTTGTTTATTATAGTTTGAAGTATAACATATTTTAAGATCATGCAAATCGGTTCATTAGGAAAAAAGTTAGAATGATTTTAGTGGGTCATCATTTTCTCCCATACTAATTTGACGAAAATCCCGAACAAAATTGAAATCGTTGGCGCGACCTCCAATTTAGCTGATTCTTTGCACAGATGTTTGTTTTTGTGTTATGAACTGGACTAGGGGGTGGCCTATCAAAAATATCAATCTTTTTCCAGAATGAAACACTCTAGTGTATCAGCCGTTTATTGCAAAAAGGCGATTTAGCGTGTTATCTGGGATTGTTACATTAAGTGGGAAACATTTTAAAATCCCAAGCTTAAGGATTTTTATCTTTACATGCTATGATGAAAAAGATAAAGGCTGGCTTGGTCTAAATATTTATCTGTCATCATCAGGAATAAATTATGTTCAAAAGCACTTATTTTTTGCCTGGCGATTCCTCACATTTCAGGTCATCGTTTGGGAAAAAAAATTGAGCGTTCTAGTACTCAATTTACCACCCCCACTATAATAAGTAAAGCAAGTAAAAAGTCAGAATTCACCATACAAAAAAAAAATCAATTCAATAATTTTTCTATGTAAATGACTCCTTTCTCGAAATTTGAGTGGTTCTTTCAATCATAATCCTAATATAACTTTAAGATCATTGAATTTCTTGATTTTTACATGATTGATTTCTTATAGCTTGTCTACCAACAAATGCAATGCCAAATCAATGATCACATTTGAGTATAAAAAGATTTTTCTGAGGATCTTTTGCGTAGTGCCAAAGAGTTTTCAGCAAGCATCAATTAGTTTGTTGCTTTTGAATTGTGTTAAATCGAAATCCATAGAATCAATCATTGGCATAACTGTGTGATAAAGTCCCTAGAATCGATTGGAGCATTCATTGGATTACGATGGTCACGGAATGATTCCCTGTTTGCCCCATCTTTCCAAAATCTGACAGACAGTATTCAAAGTTGTTTTCAATTCCTTTAACGATTTAGTTTTGGGAAGAATAGGGAAAAATGGCCTAGTTTCCGTGGTCTTCACATTCCGATTTACATATGCTCCAACTGATTTTATGGTCTTTTATACTTAAAAATATTAATGATTTTAGTCTGAAATTAAGTGGCAGTATTCAAGATTATTAATAATTCCCTTAAATAATGAGCATTGATAAGAATTATGCAAAATGGGCTACTCATTGTGGCATACACTATGCGATTCAAGGGTTAATAGATTCCTTCAACTTTATGACTGAATTACTTTGTTTAACGTCTGAAACCTATCGGCAGTTTTCAAATTGATAATAATTCGTTGTTGAATAGTTGTGAGGATAATAGGGACAAAATGGGCTATCTCCATAGTCTACACAGGATGGGTTTTTATTGAATTTTCTTGGCTTTCTAGCATATCATCCACTCCTCTTCATTACTGTAGATCACCAGCAGTCACATATAAGGCCAAACATAACTGGTGGTTTCTCCCAATAATGGAGAAAAGTTGGCAAAATGGGTCACTTCCGGTAGTCTGCACACTTAGAAAATTCATGTTCTGAGAGTGACATGTACGAGCGTCAATTTTGACATAAATTTGGGTCATAACAGACGCAAAATATAGCTCAATCAAACGTACTTTTCGGCGAGCAACGTACTTTTCAGTCTCGGAGCACTTAATATTACATGACATGTTTGTTTACGTCGCATCTTTTATGTCAAAGACGGATTCCGACAGGTGTAAAATTAGTTATTTCTTAGTGTGTATTCAAATAAGACTAGGAATTTAACATCTCCTGAAATCACCTACTTTTGTTTAAATTCACTACAATTTTTGGCAAAAAATCATGGTAGCAATTTGTGAAATTTATATTGAAATTAAATAATTTGAAATTCAATCAACAGGGGACGAATCCAGTTATGTGGTTAGCATCCCCCACGCTCAAGGTCACGAGTTATCTCTTACCACGAATGATCTTAAAATGTGTATATTACACAAACAAAAATTCAATCAAATTTCTTCCCTTTCTTCTGTTTCCTGCATGTTGTTCATTGTTCATTGTTGATCTTTCCTTTGAATGGCTTATTCTTCTATCAGTTAACATTAATTTAACTTTAATCTCAAAATGACAAGATTATGATTAAAAAAATTTGAATTAGGAATTATGACTTAAATACATTAACATTCTTCAGTTGTTGAACTAGTCTCTTTTTGAGGAATGATTTAAAATGATCCAGAATTACTGTTTATTCAGGTTGAGCTTGATTACTGTTTTAGGAGCCTCATAAAGGCACGGTATTACCAAGCCGGAGGCGACGGGTTCGATTCCCGGTTCGGTCGAGGGAATCTTTCGGGTTGGAAATTTTCTCGACTTCCCTGGGCATAGAGTATCATTGTGCTTGTCACACAATATACAAATTCATGCATTGGTATTGGCATCGAAAGCTCTCAATTAATAACTGTGGAAGTGCATTTAGAACACTAAGTTGAGAGCACGCAATAAGCTAATATGCTCTAAGCAATAAGCTTGAAATTCGAATAAGAAGAAGAAGTTGATTTGAGTTTTGTTTAAATAAGGATAAGTCGTGGTATCTGAAAATGGGATTTAGTATGCACAAGCTAAAGCAAATATATTTGAACGTAGATGTGTGATTGGTACATTTTTGGGCAGCTGTGGAGTGCTAACTACCAGTTTTTTTTCTTCCTAAATTATTCAAGTGTAGAAACACATTTTTAAATTTTGCATATTGAAACACAGAACTTTGTTATTTTCACTTCACGTTCTAATGATTTTAATCGTTTTTATATTTATAAATTCTATGGAATTTAATTTATTTTCAAAGTAGGTGGGGGTTAGTCAAAATTGGATGAATTTTGCTTCTCAGATATTTTCGGAGATCGATTACTTTATTTGTGCTGTAATATAACATTTTTGGTTGCAGATCTTAATCTGTATAAGGAGACAAACCAGCCCAGGCTGAAAGTCTCCTTAATAATGATATAACAAAATAATCTGTATAAACATTTTCAAACTTATCGATTTCAAATTGTTTGATTCTTGAAATCGACCAACATTCAATTTCAAGGCATATATCAATTTATTCAAATTGTAGAATTAAATAAATAAAAAACTGGATTTTCGCTTTTCTATTGCACAAGGGTTTCAGATTACTCTTATCCAATTAATAAAAAAAAAATGCATTTAATTTAGAAAAAACATAATTTGAGTGTCCTTGAAATTTCAAAACCGGATTTAAAGCTCACAATTTCTTCTCGTTCTTGGGAATGTAAATCATGTTGATACGAAGTTATTTTATAAACTTGATAGAAATAGGTTTGTCGAATTTAATTCTGAATAATCAGAATGAAATGTATTAAGACCATTAATGGATTTTGGGTTAAATAAATACCATCGTCATGAATAGATTTCAAAGCCAAAAAATACTTTTGCATATTGCAAAAACATTATTCAAAGTATTCAAAAAAATTTGTTTCAAACATTAATTAAAAAATCTTTGGACCATAATTCTTGAAAAACAATTTTTTTAATTGTTTCAATCGCAAACGCAACTTTATGCAAGATTGACGATTCAATGAAAATTAAAATATGTCACTTCCTGTATTTTCTTAAATTTTTATCTGATTTTTTTTTATCAGATTTCTAAATATGATTCTTAATAACATAAAAAAATCTTGCTCGAATTTTTTTTGCAAAATTTTGAATTATTAAAATTTTGCAAAACATTTTCGAATAAGATTTTTTTACTAAGATTAATTATGCATTAATTATTCGATGAAACGCTTATAAGATACTAGATTCATAAATTCCACATCGAAATGCGAGTTTGTATCTTTGCATTATTTTCCAAGTTTTCCATTTATATAAATAATAAAATTATTTAAAAACAGTCCAACTATGTCAATGAAATCAAATTGTTCGTTATAGAGACCATTTTATTGTTTTCAAGTAAAAAAAGTTGCACCCAAACTCCAAGCTTGTCTTTTGTTATGACATGAGCTTCTATTCTACAAAATTGCCCCCCCCCCCCTTATTTCCAAATTATTTCCTTGATAGATCCCCCCTTCCCAACCAGAAGGACGAACTTCTCTCCGCTGCGAAACACAAGAGCCTTCAACACCCAGATTTTCACAACATCCGCACCGAACGATTCTTAATTTTCCTTTCCTCATCACGATTCCGCACAACAACACATCAATTTCACTGTCGAGTAGTGTTACCACCTTCTCACTCATCGATTATTCTCGGTTTGAATTTACCACTTGAAAACACTAGCTGGCTTAGTTGAGTTGCAGGATTTCCCTTCACGGTCTCGTAATCTGCTCACTGTTTTGCGCAAAAACACACTTTTATTTCCTTTCGAAGCGCACGTGGAGCCTAGCACATAGCTTTTCTCCGGCACAGACTCAATTTAATTTTGTTTCAATTAACTTTTTCTGCTTTCTTTCACCGTCTAAACGCGATTGCTGCTACTCACTTTCCGTTGCCTCACTATTTTTTTTCCACTTTTCCAACCCCCTTCAATCGGTTTCCTTTAGCCCGGTTTCTTCCAGGGTTCTGCAACTTTTCACTGCACTTTTCACGCAATAACTTGCGTCTGGACCCCCAACTGTGAGTGGGATAGATGGTCGGAGAGAGAGTTTCGGGTCCGGGTCTTCACGATCAACCGAATACATATACCGTCAGCAAGGTATTACACAACTCCTGTTTGACGCGCGTGTTTTCACTCTCTTGCTGCTGCTGCTGCAACGGACTACTGATGGTGAAACTGTTGACTGATCAAAAGCCACAAAGCCTCCAAAGAAAAAGGTGCCAATACTGAGAGAGAAAACCGCCTGTGTGCGCCTTCGATAGCTTTCGCGAGTAGACTAAAAGGGGATCGCGGCTCGTCGGGTTCGGACGCTTGCCGAGCCAGAAGAAAATTGCTGCTGCTGCCTTCTTGAGCTTGAGACGCCAAATGAGAGAGCGAAATACTACCACCAACCTGACGATGCGGCTTTTCCTTCGATTCTCGTTCTCTCGCGATCGTATGCGATGTCTGTACACTAAGCTAGAGTTGGTTGTGGAGCATGGTTCCTTCCTTGAGTTAAGGCAAAGAGCGCCCGTGCAAGCGAGTGAATTAAGGTTTGGTGCAAGCGAGATCGGTCTTGGAATGGCTTTCGGAGTTTTGGATGAAATGTGAATGGTCTTTTGATTGACGACAAATTATGGTCATAAATCGAAAACAAAACTGTGAAATTGTAAAAGTATTTGAATTTCTTAATTTTTTTTTCCAGGTATAATGTCAAAGTTACAGTCAGTATGATCGCTTCACGTTCCCATGAACTTAAGAAAACAATTAATGGAGAGATTGCATCATAATACAAGGAAATGTTTTCAGCATTATTCGAATAATCAAAGATGTAGATGTTTTGGATCAATTACCTTTTTCATTCTGTGATAAGTTTTAATTTTTATGTTTACTATAGAGGCTTTTAGTCATTGGCTGAATTACTTTTTAAAAAGCAGAGAGCTTGTAAAGAGCCTCCCCTTGATTTTGGGTATAACAAAGTTTGTTGAAAACAAAAAACATAGTAGTTGTCAGAGCTGCAAAATCTCGACAATACACGGCGATATTCAAATTTATGCTTGGGTCACTCATTTGAGCTAACAGTCATCGTCAAGACAAACCATGTCAATTGGCAGTGACAATGCTGTCAGTGACGAACATGTACAGATTATTTTATAATTTTATTTTATTATATTTATGATTTTAGTAAAACAATTACATGGAGCCGTAAAGTGAAGAAGCATCTACGTCCTGAACTGTTTGGATAACAATAATGTGACTCAAAATGCACGAAATTACAGTTTATGATACCAGATGAATCTTTGTCATTGACGAAAACAATGAATGAGATATTGACTATGGTTTTTTTGAGAATAAAATCTATCAGTGACTATGTGTAAAACAATTTTGTCAATATCGCGTGAAAGTCTGTCAATGACAATGTCAACTCTCAGCACTCGTAGTTGTTATTGAGCAGTTCTAGGCGGATAACAAAAACAAAATAATTTTAGACTTGACCTTTTCCGATTTGCATGAAAATTTGCATATTTTGCAAAGATATGGCTGAAACAAGTTCCGGTGAATACGGGAACTTGGGAAATAAGTCGTGTTTCTCGGCAACCACTGAACCGAAGTATACGCATCAAATAAAAGGTACTTTGGCTACATTGAACACCTACAAAAAAAATTTGTAATCGGTAAACTAGTCAACAAGTTCCAGCGAGTATGGAAACCAAACTCTTCAAGTGACATCTTAAATCACATGAAAACGCCACAATTGGTGGTCATATCGAGTTCCTAGCCCCACATTGGTCACTTACGGACATGCTTGGCATACTTGGCATTGTTTTGTTACGAACTGCTTATTGCTAATAACTTTGCACACAGTTGACGAAATATAATTCCTTTTTAAAGCAGTAGATAGAATACCTAAGCTCGCTGCACATTTCGGACCTTAAGTGTAAAAATTCATTGGTGTTGATTCAAATGTTAAGATTAATCTACTCTTTGCATATCTATAGTAAGCTATGATCCTAATATATAAATTACTTTTAGGAAAAAAAAATTTCAACAACTGAGTTAAAAGTAATGAACAAATGAGCAGTTGGTGTGTATAACTGTGCATGCCAAGCATGCTTACAGACATGCACCGGGTACACCAAGGGAAGTCGCCAGTTTCTGACTAGGCCAAACTCCATCATGCACACCTCAAATCAAATGAGAATTCAAAAACAAGTTTATTGATAGCCTACCTAGTGCCCAGGGTCACATTGGTCACATCCGTACATGTTGTGGGAACTTTCGGGGAAGTACCTAGTTCCTAACTAAAACCAAAACCAAACTCAAAAAATCATTCCTGATTAAAACTCGTAAAAAGCGCTCAACTAATGCAAAACCAATGCTAATATCAATTAATGACACCTCAATATAAAGCAATTAGTTTTTAAGCCTGACAACTCATCGGTGATTTTTGTGCAGTTGAATTTCGCATGGCTAAACTCATAAACGAATAATTCAATTTCAAAGCGTTAGATTTGAGGTTTTGAGATTTTCCGAACACTGTGACATATCAAAATATATCTGAATTCGAAAACAAGATCAATGCCAGCCCAACCGAGTGCCCAGAATCACATTGGTGACATGTTCTGGGAACCTTAGGAGAAATTACCGGTTGTAGACTGGAACTAATACCCATCATGTAACACTTCAAATTATATCTGGATTCTATATCAACATCAATGGCAACCAAACAGAGCGTCCAGAACCACATTGGTCTCATCTGACCATGTTCCGGGTACTCTCTAGGAAGTACCCAGGTTCTTGCTATGACCAAAACCCACCCAAATTACATCAGAATTCAAAAATAAGATCAATGACAGCCAAACCGAGTGCCTTTGACCACATTGAACATTTTCCGTGGCTCTGAATTAGTAAATTAGTGAGAAGGGCCAGATCTCACTAAAGGTGGATAAATTCATGTTTTTATATTGTGCTATATTCATAGCGTTCGACTCTGCAGCCTTATTCATCAAAACATCGTTTTGTTTTCGCTATCCAACGTTTTGGTTCATTTTTAAGCTCCAAAACAATGGATAGAGAAAACATAGGTGTTTTCCCTAAATAATACGGCAGAGCCATATGTTCAGCAATAAGTTGATAGCCAAGAACTGCCCAGGTTTTAAAGAAGAAGTCAACTTAATAAAATACTAATTAGCATTTCAGTTGAATTGTTCAATAACTTATGTTTGTAAATGAACTGCTCAGGATTTAAAGATGGAGTAAACTACACGATAGATTAAAGCACTTTTGAGCTTTTAAGTTGGATTGTTCAATAAATTTTATACGTCATAGAACATGGTGTAATTGTCTGAATAACTAGAAAACAAAAAAATTGGCATTGATAAAATCCTGCACCATTGAAAGAAGGGTCTTCTCCCGTCATTTTTACGCTATTACTTCAAGTTTTCTTCGGCGACACTTTTTAATTCAAACTATAAGCGTTAATTTCTATGGGAAACATTTGTCTAGGTCTAAGAGAAAAAAAATCGAATAAAAAATATTGTCCAGACCCCTCGAGGAAAAATTTAGATAATGGAGAAGGTTTCGTGAAAGCATTTTTTTTTTTAAATTTAAAGTTATTCACTAAAGACACTGAGAGAGCTGAACATGATATAAAGTGGTTTCTTTGAGGTGTTCAAAAATGGCCGCCATGATAGCTGATAAGCCCCTATTACTTCATGTTTTCTAGATCATGAATCTCGGACACTATTGCTACATCGCTGATGAAATTTTAACTACCTCTTTATTACTTGTGCTCTTGAAAGCTTCAGGTAAGATCAATCAGGAATAAGGTTCTACAGTTCCGCACACCTAAATACTATTGAGTTTTTCGATTGGATTGTTCCATAATTGTTATCTTTCAAAGAACTGACCACGCTTTGAAGAAGGATTCATCTCTATGCGAGAGCAATGGCATTGTAGTTGGATCTCCTAAATTGGGTCTAAGACTCTGTGTACATATAAAACCTGTGTTCCTATAAATCCAATCGGGGATATTCAATCTTTGGACAGCTCTAAAAAGTTGTGTAAATTTCTGTAACTCAAAAAAGTAGTGTAATTTTAGCTTAATTTTAGAGCAGAGTTTGTTTTCTCAAATGCATTGCTCTAGACAATCACCTCATGAAGGTTTTATACTAAAATATGCATTCTGGCAAATCTTGCTTATACGCTGTAATTCATTGCAAGAACTGCCATTACATTTGTTGTATGAAACATATGCAGATGATGTAATAATTTCAACCTTACATTGGATATAAGAGAAATTGGTTTTGCGTGCGGTGATGTAATTCGAAGTAATGGCATTCGGGGAAATGCCCAAATGCCATTCAACAGAGTCTATTGTTGGATTTTTTCAACTTTATTGATTCTATGCACCGTTTGAACATCAATTTTTCACTCAGACTCTACAAAATAACCATTTCAACAGCAAACGTACGCCAACTCAACCTCAGCAACCGTTTCCATTCTCGAACAACTTTACTCCCTCGCGCAACTCTCAGCAAATATCGTCTTTCGGTTTGAAGCTTCATCGTGTCGCCTTAGTAAGCCCAGCTACCATCCACGGACAAAGCACCTGGCAGAGAGCCTAACCATCGTGGGCCGAAGTGAATTCCAAACCATGAATCCAATATCCACGACTACTATCACACCAGTTAGTCACAATATTGGTAGTATTGGTGGTAGTACACCAACCAGCTCAACGGCAGCTGTAGGACCGTAATAAGTCATTTCAACAAAACGAAACTTTTACGCAAGCCTTTAGCCAAGCTTGGGCACCAGCAGCAACGCGTTCCGCATTCTCTTGCACCCCAGACCTTACGCTCTTCGGTTTGGGTGGGTATGAAGGAGCTTTGCTGTATGACAACGTCATCGAAGTCTCTCATCTCCATTAGGTGCAAGTGCGAGAGAAGCCGGTTAGCACCGGCTATGTCACTCTTTGTGAAGAGGCACAACGAAGTTCCGTCTTCTTCTCCTGCGTGTGGTAGTTCAAGAACCTTCAAGGTAAACAGTGTTACTAATTTTGCAATCGGTCATCGGCAAGCGATCGGGGGAGGTGATGAGTAATGAGCCATCGGTGATCTGTCAATGAACGATATTTGTGCACGTTATGGTAGGATTTACCCTAGTTCTTGGCATCAATCATACAGCAGCAGGAGGGTGACTAAACCGTCGCACGTATGGTTTTCGGGCCGTTTTCACGGTCGCAATGCATTGCGTTTATCGAGACAAACTATCACGGGGCAGACCCGATGGTGCAG